AAACACAAGTTAACAAGTCACTTGTCAGCAAGAAAGAGCAAAGCACACACAGGTAAGAACAAGGTGTGTGCCTGGCTGGGTTAAAGGGAATATTCACCAGGCAAAGTCCAGACTTACTTGTTGCTCATACTGGGCAATACGAGCCTTGGAAGCCTGCACGTACTCAGCAGTGCTCTTTGCCTGCAGGAAAGCAGAGGACGTGGTGAATACCCTTATGATAAATACAGTGACCTAGAGTGAACCTGCAGCCCCATGCCTTACGTTGGCATTAACATTCATCATCATTACACTAGACAAGCAGACAGAACCTTGATCAAAACCCAAATAGCCAAGCCCTTCCACGTGCAGGGATCCTCTTGTTTAGCCAAAAGCCACAGACGGGTGTGAGGACCAGAGCCGTGCTCCAGCTCAGGCTGCCCAGCCTGTGCACATGCACGTACAGAACATCCCTCTCTCCCCTCCCCATCCTCACAGAAGTCAGAGACAACCCCAGCATTAGAGGAACAGGTTAAACACTTACAGCTTCCGCCTCCTGGGCATCAATTTTGGCGGTTTGTGTATCCTTTGGCTCAGGAACCTTCAGTGCACTGAACTGTACATCGAAAGAGAAAATTGTTTATACCATTTGACTGAAATAATCCTTCACAGCAAGGTCATTTTCCCAAGCAGTGGAGAAGCATTCCCTCCTTTCTTCATAGGATACACTCACAACTGCAAAAGTTCACAAGCTTTCTAAAATTGACCACTGGAGCTCGACTGTGTCCTTCACCAGCAGCACTGCTCACCCGTGAGCTTAAAGCAATCTATTCTGTACTGCACACCATCACCAGGACATGTAACACCACTCACATTCACCCCAGCTCCGTAAAGAGCAAAGCACCACATTGCAAGGAAGCAAGAAAGTCTAATACCAACACCTCATCACATCACAGACTGATTTCCCCCAAGATAAAGTTCCCAGACCCATGTGAGGTCAGTGGTTCCTCCCAGCCTGGGGAGCCCAATTTCCATAGTGCTGGTGACACCTTGTGTCCTTCAGCAAGCCCCTCACTCGTGTTTTTCAATTCCTGCTTATAAAGATGAGGGCAACCCCTGCAGGCACCCACTAGCTTTACACGTTTTGGTGTGCGTACAGCCAGACTTGGCACCTTCTTCCATTCAGGGAGATAGAGAAATACTTCAAGCGTTTGCTTCAGGAGAGGCTCTACCCAAGAATTCAGTTTTGCAGCCAAAATAATTTATCAAGTTTTCTTTCACCAACTTTCTTGCCGTACAACACCACAGGTTTCCTCCTGAATGATGGCACTGAAGTGACCTCCTCGAGGTCAGCGACACCGACCTGCAGGGTGTACAGCTGGGGGATCTGCCAGCCAAAACAACCTTCTCTCTCACTTCTGGTATTTCCCTCTCACACCAAAGACATTTCCCCGTTTAAACCTCCAAGGAAAGCGATACCCAGCCTGCAAAGACACTGACCTTACTCTGGAACTCATCCACCATGCCAGCTTTAGCAACAGCAGCCTTGTAGTGAGCCCAGTCGATGGTCGGGGGTTTCTCTGGCAGAGCAGCCAACCTAAAGAGACAGAGCACAGCAGTCACAGCCAGCGCGAGACGTAACCCCACGCTATCACTGGCCCTCTGCCACAGTTACTTTTCAGAGCATCACCAGAGTCTGGTAAGTTTAGTTTAAATATCTTCAGGTCCATCATTAACAAGCAGTGATGAACCATAGCAAACTATCCATGAACCCACAATGTGCCCTTGTCGCCAAGAGGGCCAATGGAATCCTGGGCTGCAGAGGGAAGAGTGTGGCCAGCAGATTGAGGGAGGTTATTCTTCCCCTCTACCCCTGCACTGCATCCAGTTCTGGGCTCCCCAGTTCAAGAGAGACAGGGAACTACTGGAGAGAGTCCAGCGTAGGGCAACAAAAATGATGGAGGGATTGGAGCATCTCCCTAATAAGGAAAGGCTGAGAGAGCTGGGGTTCTTTAGCCTGGAGAAGAGAAGGCTGAGGGGAAACAAATCTATGTTTACAAATATCTAAAGGGTGGGTTGAAGGATGTTGGAGCCAGACTCTTTTCAGTGGTTTCCAGTAACAGGACGAGGGGCAACGGGCGCAAGCTGGAACATGGGAAGTTCCATTCAAATACAAGATAAAACTTCTTTGCAGTGAGGGTGCCAGAGCCCTGGGACAGGCTGCCCAGGGAGGGTGTGGAGTCCCCTTCTCTGGAGATATTCAAGCCCCACCTGGATGCAAACCTGAGTGATGTGCCCTGGGCAACCCTGCTTAGGCAGGGAGTTGGACTAGATGGTCTCTAGAGGTCCCTTCCAACTCCAACAATTCCATGATTTCCACAAATCCCTCTCTCTGCCCTTGAAATAGCATTCGCTATACAGACAAGAGGAGTTCAGCCTGCAGCCCTGCTCCGTTTCCAACTACTATATAAACTCTCTGGGTGCTGCCCTGTTAGAAAGGATTAGCCAGTTTTCAGAATACTGAATCATAGACAATCAGCAATATTAGCTTAAAAGCCAACGTTTGTATCAAGCAGCTGGAGCATTTGAGGAGACTCAGGAATTTGAGCAGCAATGAACAGAAGAAGCATTTGCGCAAAATGCTTTGAATGTGCCAAAGCAAAATGCTGCCACACATCTGCCTTCTTACATTACAGCTGTTATGTTACGCTGGGGAGGATTAAGTGAAGATGAGTTGCCTAAAAAAGCCACCAACTGTCTTGAAGGTGACCTGCCTTAGTGTTTCTCAGGGCACTGCCATGGGACCAATGTTATCACCACTACCCCAAGCCGGTATCACAAAGGCTGAGGGTTCAGTTGAGGGACTGAGCCGCCCCCCAGGAGTGGGGCAGAGACTCACCGGGCCGAGAGCGCGTCGCTGCGGGTCTTCAGGGCGTTGAACATGGCCCTCTGGTTGGGGGGCACCCTCTCGGCAAAGGCCGCCCAGTCAATGGCCTTGATAGCAGCTCTGCGTCC